TAGGTGGCTTACTTTTGTATATTTGAATAGGATGCAGGATTTTGTTTTCTTCCACCTGTCAAATTTTCTCCCTTTGATAAAATCATTGGATCAGTGGCAAGATTCAAAGACATTGGCAATCCTTTATTACACACTCGGTTGTTACTTGTTGTTTGAGTCTGAGCAGCTTTTAGGCTGTTCATAGACATCAGCTAAAAGTAATCCTGTGCTCACTCAATGTGCGCACTTAACAAGAGGGGCCCTACGTAGTCACTCGAGAATTATGGCTAATCTTATCTCCTGTATTTCTAAGGGCACAACACTAATGGTTTTGCCTTAATAAATGGAAATTTATTCAAAAGGAAAGTAATACCATAAGGAAAATTCAGTAAGGCCGTATTGTTGAGTCCAAAGGAAAGATTGAACAAAAATATTCTGGACAGAGTTCTCATCTGACTTAGGAAGCAAAACTTTACTGTACTTGTCCTTATTTTCCCAGAAGTGGGCTGTTATTGTTTTTAAATATAATACTTCTAATGAGGTCAGTATCTATTGCTTAACTGTCCTTGAAGGGAGTATTCTGTGGGTCTGGAGTAGACTAAACCAGGTAAGGATAACAGAACAGGAAGGTGGATTATTATCGAAATGGGGATAGGTTGGGAAAGAGGGAGGTGCAACAAAACCTTGGTGTCCTTGTACACAAGTTGCTGAAGATAAGCACGCAGGTGCAGCAGGCGGTGAATAAGGCAAACTATATGTTGGCCTTCGTAGTGAGAGGATTTGGTTGAAGGTGCAGGAATGTTTTAATGCTGTAGTAGTTCAGTGCCTTTGGTGAGACCACATCCAGGTTATTGTGTGCAGTTCTGATCTCTTTATCTGAGGAAGGATGTTCTGGTTATGCAGGGTGTGCAGCAAAGATTTACCAGACTGATTCCTGGGATGGCAAGACTGCCATAAAAAACAAGAGTCTGGATCAGTTATGATTTTCTTCACTGGAGTTTTGAAGAATGAGGGGAAGATTTCGTAGATACCTATAAATTTCTAATGGGACTAAACGGGGTAAATGCAGGAAGGCTGTTATCGATGACGGTGAAGTCCAGAAACAGGGATCACAGTCATCACAGAGATCACAGATTCGGTGCATTTCGGACTGAGATGAGGAGAAATTTTTTTTCACCCAGATAGTGATGAGCCATTGGAATTCCCTGCTGCATAAAACAGTTAGATCAAAACAGTTAGACCTTTTCTGAAGAAGGGTCTAGACCCGAAACGTCAGCTTTCCTGCTCCTCTGATGCTGCTTGGCCTGCTGTGTTCATCTAGCTCTACACCTTGTTATCTCAGATTCTCCAGCATCGGCAGTTCCTACTATCTCTAGACCAAAACAATATTTTCAAGAAGGAGATTGATATAGTTCTTTGGGCTAAAGGGACCAAAGGGTATGTGGAGAAAGCAGGAACAGGGTACTGAGTTGGTTGGTCATCCACAATCAGCACATAAGGCTTGAAAGCCGAACATTCGACTCCTCCTATTTTCTGTTTCCTTCCCCAAAGGAAAGTGACGATCAACAATGGCTTTAGGGTCACCATGACAGAGTCTAGTTTAAGTTCCGTACTTTATTAACTGACTTCAGATTCCTGTGTCCCCACAGCTTTAGCCTGGGCCTCTGGATTACTAGCCCAGTGATGTTGCCACTAGGCTTCCATTCCCCTTTAGTTTCTCCATCATACGTCTGTTGTCCCCAGTATGAATCCATGAACTAAATTCATCTGCTTACTGGAATCTTCTGGTTTTCTTTGACATTCAGTATTTTATTAACCTTTTTGAATAAAAGCCCAGTCTACTCTGTGGTTTTATCTAATGAACTGCTGCTAATTTCTGTATTGATTGCATTGCAAAATATTTTGTTTTTCACAACTTTTAATAAAGGCTAATTGTTTTCTGTGAGGCTTGCTGTGAAATAATGTATTTTCTGTATATTTTTCATTACAAAGATGAAGGCAAAGGAGAACCAAAGATATGTCAAGGGCAGTTAATTTAAATTTTACTGATAGCTGAAGGAAAAATGGAAATTTTATCCACCTGGAAATAGACTGCCTAGGGAAAAGAGAATCCAAGTTGGATTTTGTCTGCGTTGCAACAGTGATAACACTTCAAAAGTGCTTAATTGGCTGCGTAGTAATGTTCTCTATCTAAATAAACTCAAGTATTTTAATGTAAAAATTTTACCATTAAAAATCTGAATATGTTAGTTATTATTTGCATACACCTCCCAAGTATGTTTCGTGATTGCGTTTCAATGATGTGATTTACCATGCAGGCAAACTTTTTAAGGAAAGCCTCACAGTTCTATTAACCATAAAATATATCTGTTAGGCTAGAGCCTAAGAAAGAGCATTCCCTCGGTAATTTCCCCCAAGTTCAGACATGCAAAATATAGATCTTTAAAGAGTGGAAATAATTGCAATGAGTGTGACAACAAATAGAATATGCAGCGGTGGAGCAGATCAGATAGAACTGATGTCCCGTTGCTCCGTGTCAAGTCAGAGAAGAGCGTGCCACCAGAGATTCTGGAAGCCAATCACTGTAGGAATTGATAGTTCTTTTGATTTGTACGAATCTAATTTTTATTTGCATATCTTTCTTGATTAAAATTCTCTTATAAACAATAGCCAACAACTGTCATATTTGTGCTAAATACAGAAGTTGGAGAGAAAAATGCCTTATGCTTGGTAGGACCCTTAACATGATGTTATCTTGCCAAAAAAATTTAATCACACAGTCACTTACCGGATGTGGCTCATGGATCCAGCCCCTGCCTAAAGACTACATCCTGTTTTAGCTTCCAAGCTGGCATTACTTTTTTTCAGCATCTTTGATGTTGAGGATAAACTTTGGCAGCAATTATGTAAATGTAACAGCCCTTATCTCAGAAAAGATCCCAGTTTCTGGAAAAAAACAGTGTTCTGTGCCAGCAACTTCAAAGCTTTAGTGTGCCAGGTGAAAGGTAAACCTGGACATTTTGCTGAAGTAACAAATTGAGACACAAGATTTTTAGGTGCTGGTTAATTTGGCATTCTAGTTGGCCCATGTAAACTGACATTGGGGAAACGAAGCATAGACTGGGTGACTGCTTTGCAGAACATCTACGTTCTGCTCACAAAAGAGACCCTGAACTACCTGTTACCTGCCACTTTAATGCACCACTCTGTTCCCTGGCCGATATCTGTGTCTCTGGCTTGCTGCAGTGTTCCAGCGGAGCTCAATGCAAGCTGGAAGAACAACACCTCATTTTCCGCTTGGGGACCCTGCAGCCCTCTGGACTCCATATCGAGTTCAATAATTTTAGGGCCTAAACACTCCCATGTCCCAGCCCCTTACCCCACACGCCAGGCCTTGTTATCACTTTGCCTGCCATTACACTCCACCTGTTGTTAGTCATTAATAGTCCCCATTAACAACTATTCACCCTCCCAGCCTGATCGTTAGCAACTCTTCGTCTGTCCAACTGTTCTTCTCTCTCTTTCAGCTCTATCCTAACGTTGACTCCCTACCCCACCCACCTTCCTATTTTCTGCATATAAACTGACATTTTTCCAGCCACCATCAGTTCTGAGGAAGGGTCACCGGACCTGAAATGTTAACTGTGATTTTTTTCTTCACAGATGCTGCCAGACCTGCTGAGCTTTTCCAGCAACTTTTTTTTTTTTTTGTTGTTGACTCTAATAAGGACCTGCCAAAGGTTTTGAAGACCAAGCATGTCCGACTAGAAATCGGTTCATTACATTGCTACTACCTAGTCACAAATTAGTTGATTGACATCTGAATAATTACAAACGATAAATGGACTGTGTTTAGATTTAGAAGAGCATTAATTCTGCTCAGTTTGACACAGCATGCATCAGTTCAAAAATTACACTGTCTAGTTGTCTGTCTCTGCAGATGCTGCTGGACCTGCTGAGTTTCTCCAGCACTTGTGTTTTTATCTCTAGTCTTCACTAGTTTTCAGCAATCACAAAATACACACAAGAATTTGTCCAATTTTATGATAGTCATGGAGCCAGCTAGCAGCCCTTAGAAGGTTTGATCCCTTTACCACTCCAGAGTCATTTTGGAATTTTAATCTTAATCAATTTTTCATCCTTTCCTCGGGTTGCTTGCGTGTGGTTTATTGTTTCAAAACTTCACCAAAGTTTTCTTTTAGAATAGTAGGAAAATTGTTAGAAAGTGAAACTAGGACTAGAGGGCATCGCCTCAAAATAAAGGGAAGCAGATGTAGGACTGAGGTCTGGAGAAACTTCTTCACCCAAAGGGTTGTGAATCTGTGGAATTCCCCTGCCCAGTGAAGCGGTTGAAGCTACCTCGCTGAATGTTTTTAAGGCAAGGCTAGATAAATTTTTGAACAGTAAAGAAATTAAGGGTTATAGTGAGTGGGCGGGTAAGTGGAGCTGAGTCTCAAAAAGATCAGCCATGATCTTATTAAATGGCGGGGCAGGCTCGAGGGGCCAGATGGCCTACTCTTGCTCCTAGCTCTTACATTCTTACGTTCTTTTGTAAAGTGTAGCAGGCTGATTAGTAACCTGTTGAACTGCAACTAGTTTTTAGTACATTGCATATAGATGTTGTGATCCTCTGATATAAGCTTACCATTTTGTTACAAGAGTTTCCCTCACAAATTTGTGTTTGGTAAATGTTCTAAATGTTTTAAATACTTTCATGACCTGAAATAGATTTATAACTTTCACAGAATTCTTTCTGATATGAAGTGATTTTCTTATTGGTTCTTACAAAAGCTAGTCGTTAATATTCAGTGTTAAATCAACAGTTTAATTATTGAGTGCAAGGCTGTATACGTTTTAATTATATTTAATAATGCTGCTACTAACAGAAGTCAGCATATTTGATGAAAAACCAGTACGTCTTTATGAAGTAAGAACTCTTCATTTTATTGAAACTAAGATGTTCAATTTACATCTGATTTTGATAACTAGTACTTAGGCTTTGGTTTCTTTTTGTTTTGATATTTCAAAACATGTAGGTGTAGTTGAAATTAGTGGAACTATGAAAGAACAATTATCACAAGAAGAAAGTGTTCACAAGCCAGCCAATGACTTTAACCATGCAGGCGATCAGACCACAGTGGCAAATGAAAATGGTAAGAACTGTCAAGTTTACTTGATTTTCTTTATTGAGTTAAGAACTGCACTGATCGCTCACAGCATAGTATGTATCTTATCTCCTTATTCAATCTGTCCAAGTAGCAGAAAAGCATGTATCTTCTAAGTAATGATGAGGAAATATTAAGTTACTTCATATAGTAAATCCATTGGCTCCTGAATAATATTTACTTCGGCGACATGGTGGCACAGTGATTAGCAACGCTGCCCTCCCAGTGCAAGGGACCTGGGTTCAGTTCTTGCCTTGGGTGACTGTCTGTGTGAATTTCCACCAGGTGCTTCTGTTTCTTCCCACAACCCAAAGATGTGGAGTTTAGGTGGATTGGCCATGTTAAATGGGGATAGGGTAGGGGGCTGGGATGCTGTTCGGAGGGTCAGCACAGACACAATGGGACAAATGTCCTCTTTCTACAGTATAGCGATTCTATGAGGTCTACTCTTCATTTCTCATACAGGACTCCATCTAAGTTTGATTTCAAGGAAAAGAACATGTGAACATACATACAAAAGGAGTAGGGGTATGTCATTCAGCTGCTTGAGCCTATTTTGCTTTCAGTAAGATCACAGCCGATCTGATTGTGAATTTAAATTCACATTCCCACCTAACCCAATAATGTTTTAATCCTTTACTTAACAAGAATCTATCTGCCTCTCTCTTAGAAATATTCAAGGACTTTGCTTCCACCTTATTATCAGGGAGAGATTTCCAACTACTAATTTCATTGTGAGATAAAAAGAAATTACCTCATCCCCTATTTTAAATGGCAACCCCTGATTTTAGTTCTAGATTCTCCCATAAGTGAAAACATCCTCTTTCCAGTCACCCTTTAGAGGCCCTCAGGATTTTGTCTCTCAATCAAGTCATCCATTACTTTTGTAAACTCCAGTGGATATAAACCTAGGCCATCCATTCTTTGCTCTACAGGACCACTTGCCCATTCCAGATATTAGTCTAGTAACCTTCTGAATTGCCTCCAATACATTTATATCCTCCTTGAAATAAGGTGACTGACAGTGTGCACAGCACTCTAAATGCAGTCTCAAAATGCCCTACTTGGGTATTCAAATCCCCTCATGATAAATAATAGCATAGCTTTCCTAATTACTTCCAGTACCTCCATACACATCTTTTGCAGTTTATGTAGGACCCTTTGCATCTCAGAGATCAAGAATCTCTCACCATTTAGATAATATGCTTCTTTTAAATTCTTCCTGCCAAAATGTTCAAACTCTTACTTTGCTACATTATGCGCCATTCGTCAGATCTTTGCCCAATCAATATATTTTGTAACATCCTTGTGTCCTCTTCACAACTTGCTTTCCTGTCAATCTTTGTATCAAATGCAAGTTTAGCAGCTCTACTTTCTGTCCCTTCATCTAATTAATTTACATGAATTGTCAGCAGTCAAGATTCCAACACTGAACCCTGTGGTAGATGTTTCTAATCTGAAAAAGACCCATTTAGACCTACTTTCTACTTCCTGTTAGCCAGTCAATTCCTGCCAATGTCAAAATGCTATCCCCTATACCGTGAGCTTTTATTTTCTCCAGCGATCTTTTTTAAGTGGCACCTTATCAAATGCCTTCTGGAAATCTAAGTTTGTTACGTTCTCTCACTTCACAGCACAAGTTACCTCCTCAAAGAACTCCAGTACATTATTGGAGCCAACTATGTTCACTCTGCCTGATTACCTTAAATGTACCGAAGTGTCCTACTATAACTTTAATTTTACTTTCTAACATCTTCTGTATGACATGTTAAGCAAATTGTCCAGTATTTCCCTCCTTTCTGTCTCCCTTTTCAAGTAAAGGAGTTACGTTTGCTATCTTACAGTCTAATGGGACTGACCTTGATCAAAGGAGTTTTGGAAAATTAAAGGCAACATGTCAACAATCATATTTGCCACTTCTTGAAGACGCTAGGATGAAATCCATGAAGACCTGGGCACTTGTCAGCCTACAGCTCCTACAATTTATTCAGTACCTCTTCTCTGGTGATGGAGATTTTCCTGAGTTCTGACCTGCTTTCCATGCCCTGATATATCTTTTTCTCTATAGTGAAAAGTATTGGCTGTTAATTCATCTGCCATTTCTTTATTTTTCATTATTAACTTTCTGAACACAAACTCTCACTTTTTATTAACTTCTAAAATTATTTATATAAACTCTTCCTATCCATTTTATTTTTGGCTAATTTTCTTTTGTACTCATTTTTTCCTTTTTTCCATTTTTTTTTGTATCTTCTGTCTAACTTGCCAGCTGTCTTTGTGTAGTGATATTTCTTTCCTTTAGGTTTGATACTGTCTTTAACATTTCTAGTTAACCATCAATGATGGGTCTGTAACTTGGAAATTTTCTGATAGAGAATATGTACAAAAACCATGGAGTTTTAAAAAGTTCACTCATGGGTTGTGGGATTTGCTGCATAGGCCAGCATTTATAGGGCAGTTAAGAGTCAAACCACATTGCTATGGTTCTGGAGTCACAAATTGGCCAGACCAGGTAAGGATGACCAATTTCCTTCCTTCCCTGAAGGACAAAAGTGAAATAATCATTACATGGTCATTGCATTGTTACATGTTCACAATTTGGCTAGCTTTACTTCAATTTCAGATTTTATTGAATTCAATTTGACTATCTAGTAGGATTTGAGCCCATGTCCCCAGGACATTAGCCTGGGGTTTTGGATTTCTAATCCAGTGATATTACCACTATGCCACCACCTCCACTATTCTGAACTTGCATCACTACTAACCTATCCTTTAACTTAATTTAGCAATTCACTATCAGCTCTGCTTGCATGCCCTCGCAGTTGTCCTTTAAATTTAAAAAAGAAATAGTTTCAGTAAAATTCCTCTGACCTTAAAACTGAATGTAAAATGTTATGGTTGCTGCTGTCTATGGGTACCTGCACCACAAGATAGTCAATTAATCCTATTTTATTGTACAATACTAGGTTGAGTATCACCTCCTCTCTGGTTAGCACGAGAATGTGCTGTTTTGAGAAACTACCTTGAAAACGTTGCATGAACTCCTCATTAGACTACTTCTGCCATTTAACTTTTCTAGTAAAGATATTGATTATATCGTGACTATCATCATGTGATTATTGTTGGGAGTCTGTAGACCACTCCCAGTGGTGACTTTTTGTTTTCATTTTTTTACATTTCAAACTAAAGGATTTGCACACCTTGGTTTCGTAAACTTAGATCATCTCTGTCTATTGTGCTAATACCATTATTAAGTAACTGAGTCACGCTTCCATCTTTTACTACTTTCCCATTATTTCTATATGTCCTGCATCTATTGATTCAGGTCTCCATCCATGTCATTCTGCAACCATGTCTTTACAATGGCTACCAGAATGTACTTATTCATTTCAATTGGTACAAAAGAGAACCTACCTGGATATTTATCCATTCTTGAAGGTCCCACAGTCCTGCTGATACATCTAGTTCTTTCTCAAGCAGGTGAAGTGTTATTGCCTGCATTCTTCATTCTGGAAATCTATTGCAAAAATTTGATCACTGTTTATGTGAGAATCATACCACATAAGATTGAATTGATAGCAGTATTGTGCTAATTTTACCTGTGTTCCCCTGTCGTCGTATCACAGTTTAATTGAAAGTAATAAATTGCATTTACAAGTGCAACTCTGTAAAATCATTTCTCAGATGTTTTTTCAAGCTGAAAATCCTAGATTTCTCCAGTCCTTTCCAATATATCTCACTTGGAAGTTTTGTGACGCTTCTTTCTACCTCAATTGCATGATGTCGTCCTGATTTTTTAAAAAAAAAATATTCCTTCAGGTGTGGGCATCGCTGGTTAGATGAGCATTTAGTGCCCTTCCCAAAACCTCCTTGAGCTGCTGTTCTGCAGTGAGGGAGGTTGATACACTAACAGTGCTGTTAGAAGTATAGTAGTCAGGCTGCAGCCCAAGCAGTCAACCAAGTCACACACTTTGTTCATTAAAGTTTTTGGCATTGCACAGTCTATCCTTAAATCATACTGCCCTGAATAATTTTAGCCTTGTCTTCAAATCTGGACTCTAATTCAATGTAACATGTTTGAGGTCTTGATATAAATTAGGAATTGTTCTCTTCAGACTTCAGTCTTTCAAATTCAAATCTATTACCAACCATGGTATTATCAAATAACAAATAAACATTAATAATTCCTGGACTTGTCGACTGATCTGATCTCAGAGTTTGCAAAGTCCGTATCTATATCAGCTATCACTGGTTCACTGAATGTAAATTTTCAGTTGCTGACACGTGCTGTGTAATAATTTTATAAAGTCATTTAAATGCAACTGAGCCATTAAACCGTTGCCCTGATCTAACAAATGTAATATTTCAATGTTTACTGATCTATGATCCATTCTTCTTAAAATGTGTTCAGTTTCCCCACAAATGTTCTTTGAACAATTTTTACCAGTAGCAACTCTCTTGAGTGAGAGTAATATTGAGTTCATGCTTACAAGTCCAATGATATTGGGCTAGTGGCATCTGTTATGATTGACTTTGGAAAAGTTATTACAGTGAAGTATGTTCAAGGTAAGTGTGGCAATTAAAACTCCACTGTGTTTACTTCTTCAAACCATCATATGAACCCAAGTAATTTGGTTCAATATTTTGCCTTTTATTTGTTCTCAGAATGTGGGAAATGCTTACAAGGCCATTCAGTCAGTTGTGTAGTACAGGACTAGAGTTGTATGACGGAGACTATGCAAGATTGTCTGAGGCCAGTCCTTTAAATAATCGGATTTTTATCCATGTTTGAACAAGGCTGAAATGAGTTCAGGAGCTGAGTGGTCCAGGAAGAACCCAAACTGGGCGTCAGTGAGTAGGTTACTTTATTACTAAGCAGGTGCTGTTTGATAGCACTGTAGAGACTTCATCTGATGAAAGGGGCAGTGCTTGAAAGCTTGTGATTCCAAATAAACTTGTTGGACTATAACCTGCCATCGTCTGACTTCTGACCTTGTCTACCCCATCCAACATTGGCACTTGCACATGATGACACCTTTCATCATTTAACTGATGAGTTGCTGTTGTGCATGTTATAGATGGTACACACTGTTGCCACTTTGCGTCAGTAGTGGAGGGAGTGAATGTTTAATTGGTAATCATCAACTTTTAATCTGTACTATCAATTTTTTAAGAGAGAAATCCTGAAGAGTTCAGCCTGTTAAGTAAGTATAATGGGGATTTTAATGATATACTAAGTTATAATCAGTGCCGAAGACATTTCCTAGTCCCAGGAAATGAACATTGTGGTAAAGATCTTATCAGAATTGGAAAAAATAATATTTTACTCTAAGGTTTACAACACATGAGGAATAATAATCACTTCGTAGTTTGCTATATGTGGGAATTCTTTAATGATTGACTTACCTTGTTTGATGTCATCATTGTTGCTGGGCCCCTGGAGATATCCTTGAATTAGTACAAGATTCAAATTAATATCAGGAAAGCTAAAATTCACACCATACAGCTCTCTGCATCATTGTGGAAAGCTTCCTTTGAGGTAATTGGCAAATTGTGTTTTATTTGCTAAAATCAAAATCCAGGCCATTGTTTTGAAACACATATATCTATTTGTTTAGCATTCAAAGGATTTGCCTTTGACAAAAAATAAGTAAATTATGTAAGAGCATCCAAGGTGGCCACATAATTCAGCTTCAAATGTGTTTTGCTGAACTTTCTCTAGTATTTAGCATGTGAAAAATATTAGTTTTATTTCATTCAAAATATTTTGTGCTTGTAGATTTGGCAGTCGTCCATACAGCTGATTTAGCAAAGGAGGCTTCAGTCTCTGAAAAAGCGGTTCAGCAGCGTGAGTGTCTATCTCCAGTGACAGATGTTCAAGAGCTTGAAGCAACTGAAAACAAACCTGAAACATCAGAGCAACCTCAGCTGGATGAGGAAATACAAAATTTGGAAGAAGTTGTTGAAGGATCAGTGCTTGTGAAAGAAGAGCATCAGTTATGTGAGAACAAGTCAGAACTAATGGAGGTTTCTGTCCTAGAAGTGTCTCATAATGAACTCAAACAAGAAGCTACACTGATAAAGGAGAGTCCAGCAATTCTATTACAAAATAACGTGACCCTGAAGAGCGAAGAAAAAGTTTCTCAAGCATGTTTCAGTAGCAGCATTTCTGAGGCTGAAAGTATACCAGATATGAGTTTACCTGTTGAAAGCAATACTGTCAAAATCTTTGGAGAAACCAGCAATAACTACACACAGAACGACAAGCCAAGCATTTCTTCCCATTTTGTGACAGTTTCAGTTGGAGTTTCTCCTGTAACAAATGTGTCTTGCACTTCAGCTGCAGGCACTTTCTCAGGAATTCCTGCATCAACGTTCGTACCCATAGTTCCAAAAATAGGCATGGGAAAACCAGCTATTACCAAAAGGAAGTTTTCTCCAGGAAGACCTAGAATGAGACAGGTAAATTTTGGTCTTTAATCAGTTAAGTGTATACAAAGTTTGAACACGACAGTTTGTCCAATGCATGTGATTGGAAAATTGCTCCATAATTTCTCTATTTTGTGTTTATGAAGTTGCAAGGTGCATCAAGAAATAGTGACAAAGAATTCAGGGTCTGGAAGACGACAACAAAAAAAACAGCAAAAGTTCTTTTCTGTTGCATTTTCTATGTTATAATTAACAGATTTTTAATGATAATCTAAATTTCAATAATGTAAACTATATAGAGTCCTTCATGGTAACCTCAGCTGGTGCAGCTATTGAACCTGTGCTGTTGGCATCACTTTGCAGTACAAACCAGCATTCAGCCAACTGAGCTAGCCAATCATCTAAATAGTTGTTTATTTATTGAAAGCATTAAATGCGAAAGATGGGATTTGTTAACCTCCACATGAACTTGAGAATTTGTTTCTGCCAAATCTGTGCACAGAACTCTATTCAGTACCTTTTTGGTCTTGTGTTTTAGAAGTCTTGAGGTGCAAATTCATTAAAATTCATTACATTTTAATATCCCATTAGCCTTTGGCAGTTATGCAAATATAATGTAAAGTACAGATGAATATGTTGAATTGCATTACAACATCTTGAAGATAAAATTAAGTTTGTGAAAACCTGAAAGCAAAGAATAGAGAAACTTCATCTACAGTAGAGGCACGTGCTTTCTTTTTTAGCACATATCAAGTGCCAAGTAAATCTATTAAATGTTTACTCCCAAGTTTGCTAAGAGTACACTTGACAGTTGTTATAAAGAAAATCTAACCAAAGAGAAAATACTACTTCAAGGCTTGAACTTAATTTAATCATGAAAAACCATCTGTACTTTGCATCTAGCTCAATGTTGTTTTCAGGAGACCGAAGATGACATTGCTGCTATGTCTTGTTCCTTCCAATTTGCATACTGCTGTGTAGTTGTGCAGATGTGTTTTGAGTCTCTGTGCAGTGTTTTATTTCTGTGAAGGGATATGGTACTGGTCCTAATATAGTGAATAACATGTAAAGTTTTTTGGTCCTTGTGATTCATTTTCAAATTCATGTTTTCCAACTAATTTTAGCATTTTCTATATAAAATACATAAGTTTTAATGCACTATGTTAGCTTGTATGCTGAGATTTGATCCATCCCCCTATACTCCCGCTTGCACGTGTGCACACACACCTGTCCAACAACCACCAATCATCCTAATTTGGTAATTTGTTCAGCAGGGGAGTAGGTAAACTGTTTTGGATTTTTTTGTCTTCTGTTAAGAATATAGTTTGTTGAACTGTGAAGTGTTTGCAGTGGGCAACTGTTGTACTTTTAGATTGCATCCTGCACTGCAGACACTTCCAAGAGAGCATTTATTATTGGTTATTTGCATATTGCAAGTAATTGTCCTGTGCGCTGTAAGAAATCAGAATAAGATTGAGGATTAAAATTGCATTTTAGGTAACCTGACAAAATTTTAAAGGGCAAATAAGAGTAGTTACAACTTGAGGGTTTTGGGATATTCAATTTTATGCTTGGCTTCTCCTGGATTAGATTCTATAACAATGGAAAGCTGCCAAAGTGAAATTTGTTCAGACTTCACTCTATGGGTTATGAGTATTTTCATCAGTGTGCTGTCTCTAAGTGTACTGAAATATATCTTCTTGCTCTAGTATACTAATGGAAAGAGCAAAAGCAATGATTGTATTTTTAGGAATTTCAATTGGTTCAGCCCAGACATTTTTGAAGTTTAGGTTTTGTGACTTTTATGTCTCACTAATCTGAGTATGCGTTGGTTACTGAATGTCCCAGCATGCACATTAAGATTCATGGGTTTTTTTGTAAGTACATATAATAACTCTTCTTTCTGTGGAAAGGTGGTTGTGTTGTTCTTATGTTAAAAGACTTTTTTGCATATTTTAAAAGCATTAGATCTATTTTCACATTGCTCTTTTTTTCTAATTTAAAGTGTAAATCAGAGCCCTAGAGTCAGAAAGATTTAATTATTATTCTAAAGTAGTAACATTTTTCTGAGGCAAATTATAATTTTGACTAGTCTTTTATGTAGATAGGTAGAAGCTAATTGCATACACCTGTGTTTGTTGTGAATCCTCATGTAAATGTTTACAACTTATCATACTTTTATAGGTAGCTTTTTGGCAACAACCTTTTAAAGGCACTATCACCATACTTTAAAAAATGCAATCAACAAAGATGCTTCTGTTGGTCATGAAGTTGGGAATTTTGGATGCAGTCACTACTGTTTGGTTAAAACAGGCAGTAGACTAGTCTGGGAGTGTATAATGATGATTGTGACAAGCCAAAAGCCAAATAGTTTCCTTTGGTGACATGAAATACTGTGAACAAGGAATATCAAATGTTCTAATTTAGTTCTGGGTTTGTTGTATTAAGAGGAGGAGAAAAATCTGCAAATAGCTGGAGATATTCCAAGTTCAAGCTTTCTGAACTGGAGTTACTCTGGCACTTCAGAGAGGACAAGAGTTTCATTTGAAACGTTCTAGGAGATAACTACCCCGCAGGCAGCAAGAGTTCAGGATAGCTGTGTGGCCATCAGAAAGACATAGAAAGAGATTGGAAGTACAGCAGTCTTGAGTGTATGTTGCAATCAGCAGTTACTCAGTTTTAAGCGACTGTTGGGAGTAACAACCCTAAAAGGCTGCCAACCAGACCATGGTGCCAAGGGGACAGAAAGGTAAAAATGTGGTGTTATCAGATGCTGTATGGTATGTGGCCTCAAAAGACACCATAGAGTGCCTGCAGAATATTCATCTAAAATGTTTGGAGGGAGCTGCAAATTATGGTACATGTTGGTACCAGCATCATAGAACAGGATCAGTTTCTGCCGTCAGATTTTCAGAAGTTTAAGGTGGTAATCTTGCAATTGCTCCCAGTACCAATCACTAAGTCAGCAAAGGTCAGTGGATGGCTTGAAGCATGATACATAAGGGGATGGCTTCAGATACTGCAACATGTTAAAATTGATAAGGTGGTGATATTAAATAGGATGTATGTACTTGAGTGTTGATAAGGCACCAAAACTAGATAGAATGCAGCCAAAGAGACTGTGGGCGGGAGCAAGAGTGGAAATTGTTGGGACACCAACTGTAATTTTCCAGTTTTCTTTAGATACAGGAGTGATTTCAGAGGGCATGATGACTTGAATGCGACACGGGTGTAAATTTAACTACAGGCCAGCCAGCTTTAACCTCTGGTGCAGAAGCTTCCAGTAATCATAACTTAGGACATCATTAATAATCACTTGGCCAATTGTGGGTGAATTAAGGAAAGTCAGTTTGGACTTGAGAAAATTGTGTTCGATGAACTTGCTGGGGACTTTTGATGAGGCAACAGAGAATGCTGTTGATGTTACTGTACAGGATTCTAGATGACAACTGATAAAGTTCTGTGCAGCAGACTTATGACTAAATGTCGGAGCTCACTGAATAAAAGGGGGCTGTAGCAACATAGAGACAAAACTAGCAGAGTGGCAGAAAATTGAGTGATGGTCAGTGGATGTTTTTCGAGCTTGAGGATATATATAGCTCTTCGCCAGAGGTCAGTGTTGGGATCCTTGCTTTTCATAATACATTTTAATGATCTAGACCTTGTTGTAAAGGGCACTAATTCGGAATTTGAGACCAATGTGAAAATTCGAAGCATTGTGAACTGTGGGGTGAAATGTTTTGAACAGACATGGTCAGATTAATGGAATAGCCAGCCAAAGTGGCACATGACACTTTTCTGCGTTAAATTTTGGTTGATACATAGAACTTTGAACACAGAACAGTACAGCACAGTACAAGCCCTTCGGCCCACGATGTGCCGAACTTTTACCCTAATCCTTGGTCTATCCCACCCCCCCCCCCCCCCCATTTTATACTATCATCCATATGCCTATCTAATAGCTGCTTAAATGCCCCTAATGAGGCTGACTCCACTACCCTCTCCGGCAATGCATTCCGTGCCCCGACCACTCTGAGTAAACAACCTACTTCTGACGTCTCCCCTATATCTACCTCCACTCACTTTAAAACTATGCCCCCTTGTAATAGCTACCTCCACCCTAAGAAAAAGTCTCTGGCTGTCCACTCTATCTATACCTCTGATCATTTTGTACACCTCAAATCATGTACACCTGTACATCATGGTAGAAAGAACATGGAGTATAAACTAAAGTGGTACAATTGTAAATGACCCACAGGAATAGAGCAACCTGGATACTTAAGTCATTGAAAGTGGCAAGACAGATTGAGAAAATGCTTAATAAAGCGTACGGCTTCCTAGGCTTTATTAATGGGGCATTAATAGGAGCAAGGAAATTATATTACACTTGTACAGAATGTAGACTCCACCTCACCCTGCGTATTGTGCCCACTCTGAGCACCACAGTTTAGGAAAGATGTGAAGGCATTAGAGTGCAGAAGGTTCACGAATGGTTCCAGGGACATGTAGCAACAATTATGTAGACTGGAGAGTTTGGAACTGCTTTGCTGGCAGAATAAAAAGTTGAGATGACATTTGGTAGAGGTATTCAGAAATACCATGGGTTTGCAGACAGGTAGATGGCAGGATCAAGAGCAAACGAGCACAGTGAGTGGTTAGGATTTGGAATGCAGTGCCCAAAGTGTGGTGAAAGCTGGTTCACTTCAGATACCCAGTGTGGGGATTGGATTGTTATCTGAAAAAGTAGAATCTGCAGGACTATGGGGAGAAAATGGAGGAATAGCACCAAGCAAATTGTTTGAACAGAGAGCCAGCGTGACATGAATAGCCTCTTTGTGTGCATGTAACCATTCTGTGATCTTAGTGTTTGGATTGAATTTCTTCTTCGATGTGCATTTTTGGGGGGAGAAAAAAAAATGTATAGAAAGGGGGAATAGCAACTGGACAGGAGAAAGCCAGAGCCTTAGGTCCAGATGTATGCAGACTAGGAGCTATAAAAAATAATCTATGGAATTGGCAGAGTTCTTAAGAGTACCTTTTTAGGAATCTACTGAGATGAGAAACTTGTTCAGCAGTAGTTAGCCTGTGGAACTCAATGCTGTGGAGGCCAAGTCATTGAATGTTTAATGACATAGATTCTTGATTGGTAAGGCAATCAAAAGTTCTGGGGAGAAGGCAGGAGAATGGAGTTGAGAAACTTATTAGACGTGATCAAATGACGGAGCAGACTCAATTTGCCGAATGGCTTTAATTCTGCTTCTATATCTTAGTCTTCTGGTCTGACACCTCCATGGTTCATTTTCCTGAATTCTGTATTTCAGTGGAATAAACATCACTGCCTTTGTCATTTAGATTTTAACTTTCTTTTGTACTCTCCGTTGTCACTCACCGTGGGCTGCATTTTATTGCCCTGTGCTCAGCTATCCTGAGGTCATAGTGGACTTCCTACTATCTCTTACTCTTTGAACCATTGGTTAACTCTCTAACCAGGAAGACTTATCACTCAATCTGTTGAGCATCTCTGTAATTGTTAAGCATTGTTCATGCTAGCTAATAGCAGGCAGGGAGGAATGAAAACTGTTTTTCATGCCTCGGAGTCTGTGCACTTTCACCTCCTTTACAAAAAAAAACCACAGGGTCATGAATACAACCCAGTCAATCTCTCAAACCAGCCTTCCATCTATATTTTCCACTGCCTTGGGACAGCAACCAGTATAATCAAAAGACTCCTCCCACACTGGTAATATTGTTTTCTATCCTCTTCCATCAGGCAGAAGATATAAAAGTTTGAATCCATGTACAAATACATTCGAGAACAGCTTCTTCCCCACTGTTATCAGATGTTTGAATGGACCTCTGAAATGAAAATTCTGATCTCAACCCTCTCGTGTGTGCTGCCCCGCCCCCCCTCGCGCGCCCCGCCCCCCCCCCCCCGCCCGTCCCCCCCCCCCCCCCGCCGTGCGTGCCGCCCCCTGCCTGTCTCTCTCTCTTCAGCCGTACTGCATTCTGCCCTCTGCTTTGCTACCCTGACGCACTTTGTATGGTACAAACTGCCTGTATAGCGCACAAAATGACACGTTTCACTGTATCTCGGTACAATGAATCAATCAAGCTTCTAATGCCTAGTTTTAAATGCAGCGAAGAGTTTGTGATAAAACAAATTGTGTCCTCCAAACTTGGTGTTCCACTGATAGCGCTGACCTACTCCAGTTTTTTTTGTATCTTTTAATACTGCAGAACTAATTTTGCATCTGGTCGTTATCTTTCATTTGGGCAGCAACACCATCATTTTTGTTTCAATACTAGCTTGTGGAGCATTACTGCTGAGTTGACGTGATTGAAAGGTCATACCCCCTCATCAACAACAATACATTTGAATTAATGAAAGAATATTAGCAAATCCCGTAAAATTAAAGATCCTTTCATTGTTGAGAGGTTTTGTGTATCACCAGCACTCAACTGCAGCATTATTATAAACGACTGCAAAATACTATGTACTGTGACATAATTATTCCACACATATGAAGTAAACAATTAGGTTCATGTACATAGTCTAAAAATTTTCCAGGCATCCAAATTCCTACATTTGATCATATTTTAGTCCATTATCCACAGTTCTCATTGAATTGATGAGGCACTCAATTGGGTGAGACATCAAGAGAAATAACCTCTGAGAAATTGGCAGATAGAATTCATGATCCAAATGGTGCACTCTGCTCGGGTTGGTGATTTCAATTTATCCCACATGTTTATGTAAATTCAACTCTCTCAAACCATGTTTGTAATGTAAATGGTGCTTTTGCACAAAGTCTCATTCATACTGAGGAGATGCACTGAAAGATAGTGGGAGAGAGAAACCTTGGTTGAGATAACAAGGTGAAGAGTTGGATGAACGCAGCAGGCCGAGCAGGAAGGCAGACGTTTCGGGCCTCGACCCCTCTTCAGAATTTGGTTATGCATAGATAAAACGTAGCTTGTGTCTATTAGCAACTGATTAGTTTTTAATTTCTTTAAGATCAAGGCGCTTCAACATTTGCATCAATTTATTTATGTTCCAAGAAGTATAATGTTAAAAGAGCAGTCATGTGATCAGGGCATCTGTCAGTTGTCCTTTTGAATGACCTCCTTGATCAGAAAGGTGATGCTTAGTCATTTTTATTTAGTTGATTTTGTCTTGATGCATATCATAGGTCAAGGAGCTGCTTTTTTATTATTTGTAGATGTCTCTATTTCTCTTCAAAAATATTTTGTGAATTATCGAATGCGTCCTCAGTCTCTTGTTTTGTTTCATGGTTGGGTACAGTGGTAAATATGACTGTGAACCAAAAACCTGGTCATTGTAGGCTGCAATGCACTGTGTAGTTGTAAATTGGAAATGCCTCTGCCTACTGCTTTGCGTTCACAATCAAAACGGCATTCCAGCCAAAAGCTCTTCCACCTTTTTATAATTTAAACTATAGTTCTAAATTGGGCGAGTGAGGTTCAAGATGTAGAAAAGTCTGGAAGTGCACAACTGATTGAAAAGCAGGTTGATGTTTTTGATGCAGATTCTTCACTGATTTGTTTTTCAAAAGTCTCTTAAATGCCAGTCTACATTGAGCAGTTTGTCATTTTTATTTTAGATTATCAGCATTTGTCTCTTCTAACAATTATTTTTAAAGTTATTGACACTGACAATGATGAAACCATAGAAATGCCAGATTAAGAAATGGGGCTCCACTAAATTTACATTTTTCTCATTTTTATGCAGAAAATGGACTGTTCAGGACTGAATTGTTATAATTTTATCTACATGCATCTCTCCTCTGGCAGATTGATTTTGTTTTTTAAGAAAGTTCATTGGAAGTGGCAGTTTTAGTTTCTTAACCTCATACACGTCTTTTATCACAGTTTTGATTTTGCAATTTATTTATTAAAAACTTCATAGCTTCCAAGAAAGAATCTTGTCCTGAGCTTTCTCCTTTTTGTTGCATTTTAGTATCATGTTTAGTAGTTAAGTTTATTTTGCTGGGGGTTTCCCCAATTACATCTTTTTTCACCTACCATATCCTAGGGCATGTGGGCGACAAATGCCATGAGTTCCCCTTCCTGGTCTACAGGCAGTTATGAATTTCGGGAGAGTATGGTAAAAACAAAGCAACCTCAGAGCACCATTTGGAACATCAAAGTGGTAATTCATATTATTTCCGATTTATATTCCTTTACTGTTTTCATTTAGCTTGGGTCTTTCTGTTGTATCTGATAAGGCAGTAGTTTGTTTTCTTTTATTCATTCAGCCATCTCATATGACATGTATTGTAGCCACTCTGCATTGGAGAAGTTGATTTTTCCTTCAAAAAGTAGTGCTGCTTTGAACAGATGATATGTTTGCACCCTGCCTCTCCTCATTTCCCCTCCTCCGCAATAAAAGGAACAGTTCTGCATATGATGCAATACAGGTTGTAGAATCAATGCTCCTGTTGTAGCTTTTTCACCCAAACCACATTTGTTTCAAGCACAACTTTTGTTGGGATTTTGAAATTTTCAAATATCGCTTCTTGAACCATATTGCCAATTCTTGTTTGCCAGTTGACGACAGTATACTGATTTGGGTTTACACCCTTGAAAGGATTAATTTTCCACTGTTGACCTTTCATCATTTGGTCCTGGAATATTCTCAATATTCATTTCATACAGTACATTTCATTTAGAAAAGTCAGGTGAAACTTCTATGTGGTTAATGCAGCTCCCGAGCACTGGATGAAGTAGACTGTATGGAGTCAACAGCAGTAAAACAGACCATAGACCTAACTTGTCTATTCATGTTCATACACATGAGCCTCCTTCCAGCATTCCTCATCTAACCCTATAAGTGCAACCTCTGTCCCTTTCCCCCTCGTGCTTATCTAGCTTCCCTTTAAATGGAACAATATTACATCTTTCTCAGTTCCTCATGATCCCTAAGAAATTTAATCAGGGATTTAACCATATTTCTTTTCAAGCCAGGTTAGTGTTTTGCACTTTCTTCCCACTGTCCCAAGTAGAGTAGTTTCTCCTGGATTTGTTTTTGGGTTTATGAATGATTTTTAAATGTGTTACCTCTGGGTTTGGGCAGTCATTCATGTAGAAATATTTTCTTGACATGTACACTATTATTGTCTCAAAGCCTTCTACCAGGTACTCTTTCTCACATCACCCTTAGTCTATTAATCAGACTGGTTAAAATATCTTTACCCCGTGGCACTAAATTGTTTGCTTTTGAAATCTGTGTCAGTTCTCCAAGATCCTTTCCAGACCAGTACCTGTTAATACTATATGTTTTATCATATAAACTGTAACTTTCATAAGTTTGAAATTGCTCTCAAGTTCAGTTTGTTACAGCCTTATTTGCTGAATACCTACTGTAAGTGTTAGGATATCTAAATTAAATACTCTGTGCAGAGAAAGAACTCTTGTTGCAATTTTACCATGAATTCCAGCTCCAATTCAGGTAGGGAATTGGACTGAAGCGTATAGTGTCACAGGCTAGATAAATCCAACATAGAATCTACTTGGAATTCAAGCTCATCTATTAGTATTCATCCATGATAAGAAGCATGGTCCATGTGAACAAGACCTGAGCAGATTAAGACGAAGGCCGACTGAGTACTGACTATACTCTTGGAAATTCTATGCAAAGAGGTATTTTAACTGGGGCTTGCTGCAAGATTAAAACTCTCCAGAGTGAGAGGTGAGTGGAAGAGAATAAAAGGCATGATTGAGAAGCTTACCTGCACTGTGACCAGTGGTGGAGTAATATCACAAATCATAACATGATGCGAGTGCTGAAAAAAAAGAAGTTAATTGGTAAATATTCCTAGTCTTTAAAGTAAAAATAAGGTCTTCGGGTTGTGTTTAAGTCTCCAGTGTTTTTCTTTCTACTTAAAAATAACTGCTTTATTATTATGTTGATATTGGTGATTTTTTTTCTTTTTAGTTTCATAAAAACAATATATCATTAGTGAAGTATAAAGAGCAGGGAATTTAGAGTCATTAATTTATAAGTTAAATCAAATAGAACAGTGATGTGGTGCTGCTGTATCATGTGGAATCTGATGGCCACTGATGTGCTCCAGAACAAATGCAACTGCAACAAGAGTTTGCAGCTCAAGGAACTTAAGATTCAAGCTCGAGCCAGATCTGCAGACATTGCACCACATTAGGGAAGGGGCAAGTTACCTGGACACTTTGCTCTAGCAGGCAGTCACACCCCCTCCGACTGCGTAATTCAGTTTTGGTCTGTGATCAGAGAAAGGAGAGTGTGACTGCAGGTGAGGCTGTTATGTGGACCCAGGGGTTATAATTGAGTAGCCTTGGCTCCTGCAATTGTTCGTTAGTTGTGAGGTCCTTGCGACCTGTGGGGACTGCAGTGAGATTGAGCAAACTGACCACAACACCTTGGCAGATGGAGTCATTAAAGTGTGGGGTGGAAATAGGGATGTAATTTTGGTAGGCACTGTATAATTAGAAGGCTAGGTAATGTTCTGTGGACTTGTCAGCAGGAGTCACAAAGGCTGTGTTGCCTGCACGTTGTCAGGGTTAAGAACATCTTGGGGCTGAAGAAGAAGTTGGAAAGGGAGGAAGGGATCATAGAATCATACAGTGCAGAAGAGGCCCTTCAGCCCATCAAGTCTGAATTGTCACGCAAGAAACCCCTGACTTACAACCTAATCCTATATACCAGCACTCAGCACATAGATTTGAATGTTATGATGTGCCAAATTGTCATCCAGGTGCTTTTTAAAGAATGAGAGACCACTTGCCTCTACCACCCTCCCTGGCAGCACTTTCCAGACGTCGGCACCCTATGGGTAAAAAAGAGGTTTTTCTGACGGCCCCCCCAAACCACCTGACTCTCATATTAAACCTGTGTTCCCTTGTGACTGACACTTCAACTAAAGGGAACAGCTGCTCCTTAGCCAGTCATACCCCTCACAAGCATGTACACCTCAATCAAATTGCCCCTTAGTCTTCTCTGCTCCAACAGAAACAACCGAAGCCTGTCGAACCTTTGCTTATAAGTTGAATTTTCCATTCCAAGCAGTATCTTGGTGAATCTCCTCTGCGTTCCTCCAGTGCAATTACATCCTTCCTGTAATGTGGCAACCAGAACTACACACATTACTGTAGTCATGGTCTCACCAAAGTGCTGTACAACTGCAACATGACTTCCCTGCTTTTGTAATCTAGGTCTCAATTGATATAGGTGTGTTCCATATGCCTTTTTACCACCTTGCTAACATGCCCTGCTGCCTTAAGAGATCTATGAACAAACACTCCAAGGTCCCTTTGTTCCACAGAACTTCGTTGTGTCAGACCATTCATTGAATACTTCCTTGTCAAATTATTCCTTCCAAATCTCATTTTTCAGGGTTAAATTCCATTTGCCACATATCTGCCCATTTGACCATCCCATTTACATAAGAACATAAGAAATAGGAGCAGGAATAGGGCATCCAGCTCTGCCATTCAGTAAGAACATGGCTGATCTTTTCGTGGACTCAACTCCACTTACCTGCCCGCTCATCATAACCTTTAACCTTACCTAGTGCACCATGTAACTTGTATGCCTTACTCTGTCCAAGTTTTTGTTTTCATCTATGAACTGTATGTCCTTTTTTATTATGATCTGCCTGTATGGCTTGCAAACAAAGCTTTTCGCTGTACTTAAGTACACGTGACAATAAATCAAATCAATTAATCGAGAATTTGCCCAGGTGAACAATACTGAAGCAGTCAATTCACCATGCACGCAAGCAGGTATCGATGCAAACAGTCTGAACTATATTAGGAAACAAATTAATTCCCTTATTGTTCAAAAATCTATCTTTGCCATAAAAACATTCAACAAGGAAGCCTCAACTGCTTCACTGGGCAGAGAATTCCATAAATTCACAACTCTTTGAAGAAGTTCTTCCTCAACGCAGTCCTAAATCTGCTCCCCCTTATTTTGAGGCAATGCCCCTTAGTTCTAGTTTCACCCACCTATGGAAAGAACCTCCCTGTTTCTCCCCTATCTGTTCCCTTCTTAGTCATAGGGGACTTGACTGGGTAGATGTAGAAAGTTTCTTTCTCCTTGTGGGAGAGTTTAGGACCGGGGGCATCAGAATAAAACGTTGCGCATTTAAAAGCTATCTTCAGAAAAGAAATTCCTCTGTATCTGTGAAATTCTTGACTGCATAGGACTGTCGAGTCTGGCTTGTTAACATTTATTCAAGGTGGAAATGACAGATTAGTTCCCTTCCTGATTAACAAAAGTGATAAGAAAAAGGCAGAAAAGTAGATTTAAGGATTATTAGATCAGCCATGATCCCATTGGATGATGGAACAGATTTGATGGGTTGAATGGCCTACTTCTGATCCTGCATCTTATTGTCTTAATTGCTAAAGTTCAGAAGTCCAAATCTGAACAAGTTGCTGAAGTGTATTTGTCCCATTTAACCCTGTGGAAATGGTTATTCACTGCACTTTTGGCATAGTCATAAACACTGCAAGGTCTGCTTGAGTTACAGTTCGGATGAGTACAGAAAAGGGAATTGATTTGCAGTTAAACCCTATCCCACTGACATCTAGTTCATTGCTGAAACATTTGTCTCTGTTGTTGTGTACAGTATTTTTGGTGCATGGATGTCTCTTGCCCTCGACAATGATTACGGCTACTGTAGCACCCTGATGTGGAAATAACTTTCAGTGAGAAAGCTACATGGAATCTTCCCAAACTTCAAAATGGCATTTTTTGTACCACCTCTTCCTTCATCTCTGATCAAGGTTTATTGGAAAAATGTACTGCCCTGGGATAGTATCCTACATCCCGGACCACAAAGATGTTAGGTTTGAATGTAAATCAAAATGGAATTTTGACCAGACTAATCAGAAGAACACCACATTTCACCTCATGTTTTCCAACGTTATACTCAGCCTGCCAATTTTTTTTGCTCACTCACTTAACCTAACTATATCCCTTTGCAGATTCCCTACCTCCTCATGACTTTCCCAGTTACTTTTGTGTTATCAGAGCATTTAGCTACCACACTTTATGTCCTCTCATTGTTCTCGGAACCAGTATGTCACAGTATTCAATGTATTTGCACCAACGCTCGATGCAGTAGCTGAGGAAAAGAAGGAATTCTATTCCAGCCTTGACCGATCTCT